GGAAATGTTTATTGAGTACCCCAATTCTGCACTTATTGAGTATGTACTATGTCCTAGGCACAATAGTAGGGCCAAAGATGTACAAGTGAATAAGTTGTTCTGCCATCGAATCTAGTTAGAGACACAGATGTGGTTTTTGTTCTACGTCATGTGATAGGTACTGCAACATGGCAGTATGAAATGTAGATGAGGTGTCGATGAGCTCTTTTTAAGAAATATCAAACAGGACTTTCAAGAGGACCATTTAGGTAGGAACTTGAAAGATGAGTAGAAGTTTGCCATATAGGGTAAGCAGGAAATGTATTTAAGGCAGGAAATATAAACATCTGCTCTACTTCTTTCTTTCTGATTACTGTTAACTTGAGGGGAATGCAGGAAAGAACTGAATAAATTTGGAGGTCACAAAACTTGTAAAATAACTATGGTTGACAACAATTAATTGTATTTTCAAAATAGTTAGTAGAGAGGATTGTGAATGTTCCCTAGCCAAAGAAATGGTAAATGTCTGAGGCCATGGATATGCCAATTATCCTGATCTGATCATTACACATTGTATATACATACTGAAATGCACACTGTAGCAATAAGTATGTACTACCATTATGTGTCAATTAAAAGTAAAAATACATTAAGAAAAAATCTGTACAGACAAAGTTCTGGGGAGGACAATTGGAACATTAAATGGTCCTACAAGCTCCAGGCCATGTTTACATTGTTCATCTCTCTTTCATGCTCCTTGTCCACTCAGTTGCAAGAACACTGCCTTTTTACTATTCCTTTAAGAAGCCAGACATGAGAGACTGTCTTGCGCCCTTTGCCCTCACATTCCCATGGCGCAAAGTCTTATTAATCTTTCACTTCACTCCTCAGAGGACTTCTCTGGCTACCCTATCTAAAGCAGACACTATTCTTTAAGGTTTACTTGCTTGTTCCCCCCATAGCGCTTATTATTACCTCATTCATTTGTTTATTGTCTAGCTTCCTACCCAGAAATATAAGCTTAAAGAAGGAAGAATCTTTGCTGCCTCTAAGATCTATAACAGTGCCTGGCAAATTATAGGTGCACAAGAGTACAGTACGCACTCCATATCTGCAGGTCCCACGTAGTAAGATTCAACCAAAATAGTCAAGTGAAACTATTCAGAAAAAAAAAATTACATCAGAACTGAACACCTACAGACTCCACCTCTCCCCATCATTCCCTAAACATACAATAATACAACAGGTATTTGCAAAGAATTTACATTATTTTTTTTTCTTTTATTCATACGTGCATACAATGTTTGGGTCATTTCTCCCCCCTTCCCCCGCCCCCTCCCTTACCCCCCTAGCCCCCCTCTCCCCTCCTATCCCCTCACTACCAGGCAGAAACTATTTTGCCCTTATCTCTAATTTTGTTGAAAGGAATTTACATTATATCAGGTACTATGAGTAATGTAAAGGGAATTTAAAGCATAGCGGGGGATGTATGCAGGTTATATGCAAATACTACATATATGTATTTTTTGAGATGGGGTCTCACTATGTCACCCAGGCTGGCCTCAAAACCTCTATTCTCCTGCCTTATCCTCCCTAGTGCTGGGATTATAGTTGTGTACCACCCACTCCCAGCAATTTTTTAGGTGAGGGAGTTGAACATCTGCAAATTTTGGTATTGGAGGTGAGTGCTAGAACCAGTCCCTCATGGATACGGAGGAATGACTGTATTCGTAAAATAAATCAACAAAGGGTAAGGAAGAACACATGATGGGAGGTTGAGGGAACGAAAGGGCAGAAGTGTGAGCTCTACAATCTCTATGTGATTGACTAAGACAGAAGTTCATCTTCGGAGAGAGGAGAGCCAGTCAAGGTTTGGAACATCTATGGGAAATGGGAAAGAGTAATGTGGAGAAGAAGATGGGAACTTAAACACTTGAACAGAAGCCAAACAGATAGTTAATTGTACTGTGCCTCTGGGTGGGGTGAGGTCTAAGAGAGAAGACAGCTCCTCCCCGCCCAGCTTGGGGTAATTTGACTTATCTTTCTTGGAGTTGAATGCAGAATTATAGTGTGGGGAGAATCAAGAAAAGGGCTCTTGAAAGAATAAGAAGATGAGGGTGGGAGTTAAGATAAAGTGAAACTTGGAAGGCAGCGAGCAACCCATCTGAGAGCCTTAAGTGAGTGGTACAGATTTTGAGGGAATGAAAACAAAGCACAAAGTTTCTTAGGTTTTATGCTTCTATGATTTAACAACAACAAAAAACCCTTAACATAAACATACCTGTTATTTGGCAGCTGGGAATTCTCAATTGGCTAGAAGTGAGTTTCAGGACAAATTGCCAGCTGATGTCCCTTCTTTCCTCCCTTCCCTTGGGCAGGGCATTTGTGAAAACAGGCAGTAAAGAAATACAACTGGATTATTATATTCTTCTGCCCTTGCTTCCATTTTCATTGTTATAATTTTATTACTAAGCCAGGGTAGCCAACACTCAGACTAAATATTATTTAATATAATGTGTTACTGGCCTTCAGGAGGTAATGAGATATGTTTTTTTAATTGAAAACTGGAGGTTTAGAGACTGATAGAATTCTTTTTCTGGATGAGTGTGGATTCTGTTTTTGAGATTTCTTTGTATATAAGAAAATAATGAAAACCAGTGGAATATGAGGTAGTTTTTTTTTGTTGTTGCAAAATAGTCCCCTTATGAATTGTAGGTTGCCAAAGAGAATACTTGCTTTCCACAAATATGTAAAATTAAGGATTAGATTTTCTTTTGTTTTTGTAAAGATTCTGAAAGTTAAGCAATCTGTTCTCCCATCTCTTTCATGTAACTTGTTCCACTTACTTTTTTTTTTTGGTACTGGTGTTTGAACTCAGGGCCTCACACTTTGCTAGCAGGTGCTGTATCACTTGAACCACTCCACCATCCCTTCCACTTATGATCTTATCCATTTTAGTTTGTGGTAACTTTCATCCTTCAGGATAAAAAATTTGGCCTGGATTAATACTTCACTTTTCTCATAGTCCATATTTAATCTGTCTGGAAATTCTGTGGGTTGTGGGTTCAGCCTTCAAAATATACCCAAAACACTTTTCACCACAACCTCTGTTATCACTCTTGCCCAAGCCACTTTCATCTGCCTAGATTATCGAAAGAGCTTCCTATAGGTTCTCTCTCATTCTGTTTATTTTTTTATTTTTTTGGTTCAACTGGGGTTTGAACTCAAGGCTTCATGCTTGCAAAGCAGGTGCTCTACTGCTTGAGCACACCTCCAGTCCTTTCATTGTTTCTTTTTTTTTTTTTTTTACAATAGCTGGAATGATCCTATTAAACTATGTCAGCTCACAGTACTCCTCTGCTGAAAACCTTTCCATGGCTCTCCATTTCGTTCAGAGTAAAAGCCAGAGTCCTTATAATAATAGCCCACAGGGCCCCACATTATCTGATCCTTCATTTCACCCTGCCTCATGTCCTACAACTCTTACCTCATCTAATGTGCATCAGCGATGTCACCCTCCCTGATGGTCCTGGAACACACCAGCGACACTCCTCTCTCAGGGTTGTTAGCATTATTGTCCCTGCTGCCTGAAAGTCTTCTTTCACAAATTCACTCCTTCACTTCCTTCAAGTCTGTGCTCCTACATCACTTTTTCAGTGAGGCCTGCCTTGACTACTCTATTTAAAATTGCACTTCATATCCTCTTCTATTTTTTCCTCTTACTCTCTTCTAGTTTTTCCCAATGACTATAATTGGTTTCTATTAACTATTAATACACTTAACTATTGATCTTTACTATCTATTGGATTTTGTTTTGTTCACTAATGGATTCCCCAGTACTTAGAATGCCCACCACATGGTTGGTATTTTGCTACTGAATGGATGAATTTCCTTTACTTAACTCAGGATAATCCTCTTAAAATCACGAGGTATTAAACTATTTTTTTTGAGCACGCTAATTGTTGAACTGTATTTTTTTAATTCTAAAATTTTTTTTATTAGGATATATTCACTGTACAGGGGTAAACTGTATTTTGTGTTTCCAGATATTATAGTTGGAATGGTGCAATAGGGAGCTTGTTCCCCCTTCCTGAAGCTACACTTTCAGGCGTTTGACACCACTTAATTTTCTAGAATCATGCATAGGAACAGAGAACGATCCTGGGTGAGCCCGCACGGGCAGTTTAAGCAGAACTAAGCTTCCCGGAGTTAAGGTGCCTGAAGTGGCCTCCCTGGATGGTGGAAGAGGGTTCTGGAACCAGCTCTGCTGCCTTCAAAGTGAGTCACTGCAGTTTCCAAGCCTTAGCTCCCCTCCCTTCAAAAGGACAGATCTCCCTGTATCAGTGTTTGTAGGGCGTTCCAAGCAGAAAAGCTCATTTTAAAGCCCTAAATGTTTTGTTTACTTTGTGGCAGTATATACATAAAATCTACTACTTTAGCCACACTGGTCTTTTTTTTTTAACATTATAGCAAGTAACACATACTTTTAAATTACAATTTTGACAATGGCAAAATAGAGGAGGGAGAACAAGTTGGCGAGCCCCTTTAAGCGAGAAACTTTCGGATGTGCAGCGGACCCTAAAACCACGCGGATCTCCATTTTGTCGGGACGGGTCAGGTTCTAGTCTCCTCCGGGGTCGGATTTGTTCGGCCGCCTCTCCCCGCACGGTTCAATCGCCGAACCTCAGGCTCACGGTTTCGAAAGCAAAGGGTTCAACTACCTCGCTCAGTTCAGGACTGGTGAGGAGGTGACGGCCACACCTTGCACTCCCCCTGCGGTCTTCCATGATTATTGTTCTTCTCAGGCTCCGCCCTCCAGCTCCCGGGCTCGGCCAGGAGGCGCGCCCCCAACAGCACCTTCATCCCGCGGCGAAGAAAAGAACTCCGCCCCTCTCCCGCCCCTGCGGATCTGCGCAGGCGCAGTCGCTCCCAGTCATCCGCTCCCCTCCCCTCCCCCAAGCGGCCCGGCGCGGGGGGCGGAGCCGGCTTGGCTTGGCTGGGACCCAGCAGGGATTAGTTGGTTCGGAGCGGAGGAGGGAACCCCGGCCGTCGCGAGCGCAGAGGAGACAAAGCCACGTCCGGGGGCTCAGCCGGGGGGCTGGGTTCGGAGCTCTGTGTGTCCCCAGTCCGCCGGGAGATCCGTGCGCCGCCGCCTGGCAACAGGTTCTCCGCCTCGCTCGCGGCCTCGTCCGCGCTCCCCTCCCCCGCGCCCGCGACCCCGGGACACCTCGGCTGGGCCAGGCGGCGGGCTGGACACCAGCTTCCATGCGGTTTGGGTCCACAATGATGCCGGTAAGCGGGTGGACGTTCAGGGGGCCGGGGCGCGGGGCCCGGAAGTGTGCGGGGTCCAGGGCGGGGACGGTCCGCGTCTCGTGCGGGTCGGGAGCGGAGCCCGGGGCCGGGCGATCCGAGCCTCCGGAGGTTTGGGGAGGGGAGCGGCCCCATTCCCCAGCGCTCCCGACCCTGGCTGGGGACTCGGCGAGACCCTAAAGCAAGGAGGGTGCCTCCAACTTCCCTGGAGTTAGTCAAGCAGTCTGTGGGGCCACCACACGAAACTTTTAAGTGTCTGATTGGGACCTGACTTTTTCGCGGTTCTTGAAGGTCAAGACCAGGGGAAGCGGGAACCTTGTTCTTCACTTTGTCTTTTTTTTTTAATTGTTTAAACTTTTTACTGGAGTGAAACATAACACATTTGGAAAGGGTTGGCTTTGTTTATAATTGAGTTTCGAGCTGATGTCAGAGATAGAGCAGCTGAATCACTCTCTTCGTAGAAACGGTTTTAGTAAATGCAACCTCAGGAGTTGGAGTTCGCAGGAAAACGTCGGTGCCGGACCCCTCTGTTTTCTGCAGACCTCTGCAGAGGATTAGTGAGCTCTGTAGGGATTCCGCGGGCATTTGACATGGCCACCAGGCCACAGGTGACCGCAGGTTTCAGACATTTCTCCAATGTCTCCCTTCTTAAGCGGAGCGCACAATCTGGCGGGTTGCAGTGGTTTCTGCAGACTTCCTCGTGGAAGTTGTATTTGCTCCTCTCCCACGCAAAAGGGATCATCTTGCAGCAATCCCGTATCCTTAATGGCTTCATTTGTTCAAACAAGGGAGCAAACAATTTTTATCTTGTTTTTGTACAGCCTGTGGAATGGAGTGATAAAAGTTTGGTTTTCTTGCAGTTACGCATTGGCCCCTACTTGTATCATAGAGGGCGTCCTAAACTTTCATGTACTGGGCAAACATAACAACTCGATTAATTGGATTTAGATGGTTTGGGGGAGGTTGTCCTGCTAGGACTCAAGGAGTTGGGAATTGTTAGTAGTATTTTCCATCTTCTGGTTTAATAACTGGTTATGAAGTTAGATTTGTGATGTGAATGTCCAGTATTAAAGTGTGTACCATGGATAAGGCTGAAGGATTTTTTATTCCTTGAGTTTACATTTCTTTGTCCTGAAATTACTTTCGCAGGTTGTCTGAATTTTTCTTGAAAAACAGAAGAAAACATGTGTTTGTTGTTGCAGTATGGTTTCTTCCTTAAAGATCTTCCATGCCATGTGAAGATATCCTTTGAGATTTCTTTAAAATTGTAGAGAGGTTTTCCTTGTCCCAACTACATACCATATCATCAGAATTCTTAAAAAGTTACTAGGCTCCTAAGACTAAGTTCAGTTTAGCAGTGTGGTTCTTCTGATTGTTTTTTTTTTTTTGGGGGTGGGGTATGGGGTTTTGAACTCAGGGCCTCATGCTTGCTAGGCAGGCACCGCTCTACCATGTGAGCCACTCCACCAGCCCATTCTGATTGCTTTTTTGATGTCAGAATAGAATCTTAACAGACTTGGTGTGGTGTGGTGGTATGCACACTTAACTTTGAAGTCAGACAAACCCTGCAGGATTTTGCAGAGCTACTATTAACTTCAGTGACCACAGGCGCTTTTTTTGGTTTGTTTAAATGTTTTGTCCTCAGTGTCATCATCTGTAAAATGGGGTAATGCTACCCAGGTCTTAGGGTGGTTTTGAGGATTAGAGTTATTGTTTATGAAGAGGTGATTGGTGCAGTCCCTGGCTTGGAATAGGTGCTGGATAAAACCTATTGAATTGGCAGTATGGGTTAAAGAGAAGATTCTTACGCTATGATACATAAAAATATGACAATTTTCGCTTAGCAGCCTAATATGTGTCTTTATACTGTAATATTTGGGGTACTTGAAAATAAACCTTTTTTTTTTTTTTTTTGCAGTGCTGGAGATCAACCCAGGGCCTTGCATGTACTTGGCAAGTGCTCTACCACTGAGCTGTACCCCAGCCTTTAAAACTGTTTTCTTGAGTATAGTTTCCATTTTTACCTTTTACTAAGATTGAATTTTTATTTTAACATGACCAAGGTTTTGTTGTATTTTATTACTGTGGAAAATTCTAACCAGTATATCAGAGAAAGCATGTTTACTATGAAAAGATGGATAATCTCAGAATGTAGACAATTGCCTTCCTCTGTGTACTTTTTTATTGTGGTAAAATATACATAATTTAAAAATTTACCATTTTAGCCATTTTTAGGTGTACAGTTCTGTGATATTAAGTACATTTCCTTGATTTGCTTTGAAAGGCATTCTAAAGTTAGATATTAAAAATGTGCAAATAAATGGTGTTCATGTGTTTTCTGACCAGATAGTACAGATTTAAGTGATTTTCTTTTAAGAGGGACAAAAGCGATAATTGGATCCAAAACCAGAAGAGAAAGATGCATTTTAGTAGGCTAACTAAAAATAAATAGGCAAGCATTGAGGGTCACAATAGAGATAATGACAGGGTGCTGCAGAAGTGGGAGTGGTGATGACTCTTCTTCAGATACCTGCCATGGGGAGCTTCTCTTCTCTTGTAATATTTCTGCAACTTGGTGAGAAGAAACTGATTAATCTTTCATATTTGACACTTTCCTATTTTCTTCATTAAAAAAAGAGGTTATTTGTACTAAGAGAGTGTGGCTTTTTTAGTGTTCCACACATTGCATTTGATTTTCAAATGTAGGCAATTATCCAAAGCAAAAACTCAGCCTTTTGAAAATTATATTAGGTATCTTTTCTTTATTTCATTTTGTGAAGTGTTATACTCCAACAAAAATCTAGTTTTATATTAGAGCTTGACTAACTCTAAAAGCATTTGCTGCTCCTTTCAGAGAATAGTTTTGTGAAAATTTCTGTTTGTTCCTACTGCTGAAATGATTAAAGCAACAGCAACAACAAAAAAACCCTACATACCAGAAACTACACACAGAATTCAGGAGTGCCACATAGAAGGTCAGAGGGCTTGAACATGGCCTGTGCCACTTGGTATGGGACAGGGTGCATGTTTGTCATGGATGCATAGGTGCACTGGAAACATTCTGTGTTTCTGTTGGCCAGTACAGTAGTCACCTGGCACATGTGGCTACTGCATTCAAAATGTGGCTAATGGGACTGAGGAACTGAACTTGAAAAAATAATTTTAATTATGTTTAAGTAGCCACATGTACTTGGTGGTGACTATTGAACACTCAGTCAAACTTACTGCCATCATATGGCCCCTATACAGTCAGTATTTTCCAGGAAATAATAGCTTATTTTAAAAAGCTCAGTTGAACTGATAATGGTTTTAATTTGTAAATTTATGACATGTAACCTTTCAGTGCTGCAGAGTCATTGCAATTACGTCTAGTTTTTCTCAGTGCTGTAAAGTATAATCTTATTGGTTGGGGTTCTAGTTTTGGGAGTACAGGACAAATAATTGGGATACTGTGCATATTTTTAGAAGTTTGACACCTGATCAGTAGAATTTTTACATTTCTATGGGTTGACTTTGTTTCATTTATGCAGCTCTGCAGACTAATAATTTAACTTCTGCTTAAATACTTGTATTATTTACAAAATTCTGGTTTTATTTGCATATATTTTCCAAACTGAAATTATGTTTTGAAGTTTAACATTTCTGAAGTTAGATTGGATTTATATGATTATGATGTGTTCTAAAAGAATTTGTTTCTATCAAGGAGTAATGTAGCACGTTGGCTTAGATCAGGTTTTATTCCAGAATAAAGTTTAGATTAGATTCTTAGGCTAGGTTCCTATCTTTATAGAATTGTAATTCTCAAGGGCTGTTAAATCATCTATTTTTAAAAATGTGCAAAACATCTCACATTTCATGTGCTGTAGTTCTGTTGCCTTGTGACTTTGATTAATTAAATGTGAAACACATTGAAATTTTCAGTAATTTTGCCTGTTTCAGAGAAACCAGATTGAGATTTTATAAAGAATCTTAAGCAAGGGTATACCTCCTTAAGTTTTTTAAAATTAAAGAGAGCATCTTTATTTGGAAGGAAACAGAGGGTCATTTATTTATATACTGGTCTTAGGAAGAACTGTCCTCCCTTCATCTCCTCCCCCTCTCCAGGAAAAACAAACACCCATAAAACTTTCTGTTCTGAAGAGTTTTTAAGGACTACTGTCAGTCTTTATCTCTTTTGCTAATCTACCATAATGTGTGGCAATCCTTAAAAGTCTTTCTAAAGCTAATTTAACACTGAACAGTTCTTGAAGCTCCTGTGTTTCTGCTCAAATACACTGCATACCAGTACCTGCTGGTATGATTCCTCCTCATGCGTTGTAAACCTGTTTCTAGTTCTCTCTACCAGCAAATATCTCAAAGAATAAGAAGAGTGGAATATAAGCAATTAGGAATTCTGAGTGCTCTTCTCACCTCCTACTTAATCAGCCAAATACTATTTAAATATTTGTATTTTGATGGCCTGCCAGGTACTCAGTAGAACATTTTTCTATAATCAGTTGGAATTGAGAAAAGAAAACATAGATAATATGACTATGTAAGAAATGTATACTTATGTTGGAGTGGTGGATGAGACCTCAAAAGGCTACTCTTTGAGGTAAAGCAAAGAGAAGTTTTAGTCATTAGGAGCTCTCTAGGAGAGTTGGAAATATTAAGGAGGCAGTGATTGAAACACAGCGTACTGTCTTATCAAAAGAAAATCTTATGGAAGAAATGCAATTTCTAAACATTAGATGAGCAGGAAAAGTAGTTGCAGAGATTTAGTAACAGGTCATTTTTAAGCTTTTTTCTTTGCATAAAGTATATTAAAAACACGATTTATTTGGATGATAATAGAACCAAATTATCGATGAAAATGCTCATTTGGGTGATCAGTAACTACTGAACTTTTGAAATATATCAATTGTTTTCCTAGGATCACATTTATAACTTAGTACTACTTTATTCAAATTTCACCCAAAAATCTCTTAGGGCACAAGCATAGA